TTAAAAAAGAAAAACCAGGAATGCAGTGTTCACAGTCAATCTGCCACAGTGTTCAGCCTTGCTGAGAGCAGAGTTGGAAGTGATTGAATGTTTTATCGGTGTACCTTCCAAGCATTTAAATAGTTCTTTATACTATTAGTATAAATTAATTACTCTAGTAGTAATAGTAATCATTTACTATTTACTATAGTAAATTATTTGTAAAGCTAGATAAATATTAGGGTAAAATTAATGAGGTTTCATAATTAACACAGATAAATTCTAGCAATATTAAAAAAAAAAAATTTGTTCACTCCCTGTTTTCCTTCATATTCTAGTCCTGCAGAAAAAGTACACTTATTTTCTTTTTCAAGAAATCTTTCTTTTTTCATGAAGTTTTCAAAACTCAGAAGCTCTCCTTTCCTGCAAGGTTGTATCCCAGTCTTAGTCTGGTAATTTCAGTTTGTGTTTTTGCAAAGGTCTTTATACAGTGTATATTTGATCATAATTACAAAGTGCTTTTCACTGGCTTGTATTTGACATTGTGTGTATATTTATATCTGGTATATATGTATGCACATCCGTCTTATATGGAATTAGATTTTTATTTAGTTTAGACTTTAAACCAGTGTTATAGTTTGAAGCTTTATGCCTATCTTAAACTACAAAGATGGGTTATTTGTCATGTTAGTTTGTCTGAAATACGCTGTGAAACTAGTGTAAGGGGGTGGAACAACAACTGAAGAAATTGTTTGATATAATGCTAAAGCTGTCTTTTTGTGGGTGGAGTTTAGGATTTCCTGAAGAAATTTTCGTCGGATCAATTCAGGATGTTTTGTTTGCGCAGCAGATACAGCTCAGGTAAGGAAAAAAAATCCTTATTTGTTGCGATATGCGTGGCTTTCCACGCACGCTTCCCAGCCTGGCGACGCAGAGGTGCGGTGGGGGAGCAGGCTCTCCCCGCGGTGCCTTGCAGTTCCCCTCTGGTCAGCGGAAAGCTTGGTGGTGCTCTGCAGGGCCGCTCTTTGGCTCTCATTTAGAAAAGCATCTTCACCGAGGACAGTACTTAACCATTCGTCTAAATACCTTCCTGAGCTGCAGTTAATTGCAACTCTCAATTAATTGCACTTCCAATTAATGAATTACCTCCATCTCTGATTTGCATCTGTTGCAGTCACTTGTATTTCAGTCACGATCAGCTGTTTTTGGAGACATATCTAGCTTTGCCTTATATTCCTGTAGGGTATGACAAGGGCTTGCTAGTAACTTTTTATCTCCCTGCTGTGTTATCATTTTTTGTCCCGTGGAGTTACTGAGTGTTCAAGCAGTTCCATGGTGCAGTGCAGCTCGCTTACACCAGCGCTTGATAACCTAATGATCATCTTAGCCTGGCAAACGCTGCTGGTGGGGAGAGGTGTGGGAGATTTTGTCAGCTTCCCTGTCTACACTGTGGCGTTTCCAGCAGGCAGATGCTACTTTGAACTGGAAAAGGTTTTCATATGGATAGTGGCCAGTTTGTTGGTGCCTGCCAAAAGCAGATGGTAGTTCCCTAACCACTGCTGGGTCATATGGCTTGTTGGCTATCCCGGCATGGTAAGAGGGATGGTGGAGCACAGGGAAGCTCCTGCTGTGTTACTTCAGTGGGCCTCTAGCTGCCTCAGATAAAGCACCTCTAGCAGTGTGGCCAGGAGAGCTGGTGTGGTTAAGGCTCTGTGGCTTCGCTAGTGTCTGTCAGCGTGCAGTGCGCTGCAAGCCTTTATAGGCGTGCAGGCATTGGACTGAGAAGTCTTTTTGCTTGTTCACACCTCTAGCTGCTTGCAGGAGCCACCTGTCTGATCTTCCTGGTGGAGCCTCCCTCTCTTAAGGCAGCTGAAGGTATCGGGAATGCCACGTATCCCTGAAACACTTCGAAGCATGGGGTAGTAAAGAGGCTGCTGGTTATTAACTGCCAACCTCCACTGCGGTAGGAAGGAAGGAGCGGATACTGGTGGGAGGTTTGCTGCAGAACAGGCCCCCGTTGGGAGCAGGAGAGGGGGCAGGCAGTGAGGAGCACTGCCACCATGGGGTGAGGCGTCGGGATGATGGCATGCCTGGCTGTTTTGGGGTGATGCTGCAGGACAGGGGCACACCTGTTTCTTCTGGAGATTAAATAGGTTGTGCACACATAGATCGCTCCCGGACTGCAACTGAGGGCACTTGGGAGTCTTGAACAAATGTGTGTTTAAAATAAAAGAAGTAAAAAAGCTAACACGTACACCACTATCATATGTATGTTTGTCCTGTAAACAAAAGCCGAATGGTTGGCAATTTCTAAGCTTGCCTCGGGGCAAGGAGTGGCACTGGAGCCCTGCAGTGGAGGGCTGCCTGCACACGTCTTCCTCTGCATGTCAGCTGGCTGCATTTGAACCTCTGCGAGAAGGACATGATCCTTTTTTTGCCTTACTACTAGGCTAAATACCTTCCTGTGATAAAAACAGAAGGCTACCTGTGCAAATATAGGTGGTTTTGATGAAAGGATACAGTGGTGTTATGTCAGAGTATAGTGCCAGCAAGCCACTCGGCAGATAAGGATTGCTCGAAGGTCTGCTGCGCTTGCCACCTCCACCTTATGAGGTAGGGTGCAGTTATTCGCTGTCCGATAAAGAGCCAGTCAGTCCCTGCTGAGGCAGGTATTTACTATGCAGCTTGTCAGCTTGTGTCCCTGCTGTCAGTTCACTTCGGTCTGAAGATCAGTTTACTGCACTCCTTCTCATCTTGCTCTCTGCTTCCTAAGTATTTTTATTAGGAGTGAGAACCCAAGCACCTTCTGTTTGTTCCTAAAAAGGTTTTCATAGCCTAAACCTGTTGGCGATGATTCCTGCCATCCCTGCCTGTGAAGGAGAGCCTTTTGTACTTGCTGAAATCCGGGTTTGGGGGGGTTGGGTGATGTTACCATGCTTGTTGAATTGAGCCTGTAAAAGATCTTTGTAGGCATGCAGGTGAGGGCAGCGCCTGACAGTTGGGAATGGCTCATGCTTGGTGCTATGGTTACATGGATCTTGGGCTCAGAATGGGCCTTTTTTGCGGTCTGGGCTACCCCCTGCCTGCGTGTGTGCTGACAGGCACCTGGGGACAAATGTGGGTCCAAACTGCCCCAACCATGGAGGGGCAGGCGCTGCAGGGGTTTGTGCAGGGAGGTGCATGTGTTTTGTGGGAGTGGGGACCCCCTCCCGTGGCGGTCATTGTCGCAGGGAGGATAAAGCTGGATGCCTGGTCCGTGGGGAAGAGGAGAAAAGTCAGAGGGAAGAGGCTTTGATGCAGGACATCACTCTTCCAGAGCGTGTCTCTGCAGGGGGTCCCTCTGCTCCATCGCCTCTCTGCCTGCCCGGGCTGGTGCGGCGGAGCTGCTGGGGGTTAAGCTGAGCTCTGGGGGCAGTGGTGGTGATCCGGGCCTTCTGCTTTGGCTGATGCCTCTGGCTGTCCCCTTCTTGGCCTGAATCACCACCCTTTGTCCCACCTGGGGCGGCTGGGAAAAGGTCTTTCCTAGGTGCCACAGGCAGCAGCATGGTGTCCCACCACCAGTGTGCCTGCCAGGCTGCTTCTGGGTGCAGCTTAAACGGAGAGGTGCTGTCTCCGAAGCCCTGCGGGAGTACCGTTGTGAGGTGCTGCTTTTTCTCTTGCATCTCATCAGCAGTGGCTTTGCTTTTGCGGTTAAGTGGAGGGGCTGTGAGTTTGCTGCAGGCGGCAGGGTTCTGTCCTCAAAACGCTCTCTTGGTCACCAGAACTGCTCCGGTGATTTTGTGAACCTAAGTGAACTGTGACATTTTGGTCCTTCTGGTCTTTCATTAGTTGTTGGTGCTAACAAACATATGCTTTGTAATTTGATGATGTAGCGATGATGCCCTCGGTGGCAAAGGAGGGAAGGAGTAGGGAATACGGTGAAGACTTATAGAGCCGGGCTTGCCTGTACTGCGCTGTGGGTTTGCAGTGCCTGCAGGTGGTGGTTTAGGACAGTGCCATGAATTGGGGAAGAAGAATGGCTTTAATCAGAGCGGGCTTCATCAGCGTAAACTTTTATGAAGTATTCCTCGCGGAGTTCCTGTAACCAGGGTAATCAGTTGAGTAATCTCAGTGGATATAAATAATCTCTTTCAATATCTCACTGTTTTCTAAAAGTCTATACATCAGTGTTTTTAAAAGTAAAGGTTAATTTTAAAACCAGTGTTAATGAGGCAGTAATGTAGATTTTTAATGACGCACAAGTGGAAAATCTGACAAATAGAGGTCCAGGCTTATTGCCTTAGTTATACTGGGGTAAATCCTACAGAAAGTTTGTTTAAACAGTTACGCTTCTTTGGGATTTAGGTTAATGGAACCGAGATCAGGTCTCGCATCTGGCTGCTTCTGCCCTCTTAGATCTGTCCCCTTGCTCAGACTGTCTGCTCTAAAGAGTCTGTGTCTGGGCGGCATTGGGTAATTGCACAAATTGCGGCTGTAATGGGCGCAGGGCCAGAGGTGAGATTGCTGTGGAAACTGCAGGTGATGCTCCGTGCTGATGAGATTAGGAATACGCTCCAAGCTGTAGTTCGGATGTACCTTAGTGCAGAGGTCAGGCATAAAATGGTGAAGCTATCTTGGCCTGGCTACGAATGGCTCTTTGATGCGAGTAATCAACTCTGCTGTGATATTGTGGGGAGGAATGCGTTTAAACTTAGGCCTGTCCTTGGTGGACACAACTTCCACCAAAGCTGGGTGAGCTGTCTTGTGTGGGGTCCGAGTGCTCTTCTACAGACAACTGCGCGTTACTGTACAAATAGAAAAATTGCTTCTTGCTGATGGCAGCTCGCAGTAAAAGTGCCAGGGGGCCAGTCCAGCACCTGCACTTCTGAGAGCATAGGCAAAGCGAGAGGAGCCTGCTTAACCCGAAGCCAGCAGAGGTGAATGCTGGTAGCGCAATTGCCTGCCGAAGCTAGAGCCCCGCTGAATGCAGTGAGGGTGTCTGTGTGCATGGATGCCATGTTCGTGGGGGGGCTAATGTTGGCTCTCCAGTTGGTGGAAGAGAAGCACTGTAGGGTTAGGGTATAGCAGATCTTATTATAAAGTAGAGCGCTGCTTAGGATGTGATGAATCATTTACCTTAAGGTTATATCTTTCTTTCCAGTGACTGTAAAGAAGCTTAGATGTAAATGTGTAAGTTGAATGTCATGAATCCCATCCCAGACAGGCCCTTATGAGTTGAAGCAATTTGTATTTTCTCTAATAGTCGCCTTCGAAAATTGATATGGCGAGTTTAGCTTTGATATTGTGAGGGAATTGTATATCTAGTGCAGTGTCTAGACTGCAAAATTTTAGGTCCATCTAGATTTTAGATGCTGGTGAAGCAGCCCTTTAACTATAAATGCCTGTATTCCTCACAGAGTCAGTGGCGAGGATTAGGTCTCTTAGGAGGTCTACAAAGACAGATCGTATCTACCTAAATTGGAATAGGAACAAAATTAGGGATGAGATCAAAGGTATGTCTTGCCAAATTAAATCTGGGGGGGCCACTTAGAAATATATCCAATCCAAATGCTTTGGAGTAATAACTTCACTGAGAGATTCAATAATGAAAAAAAAAAAAAAATTTAAAATCAAATAGCTATTGCTTCAGTCAGCTTCCAGACATTTTGAATCAGCCTGATGCCTTTCCAGTAGGTTATACTTTGTCATATGTAATGATTATCTTTTATATTGATTTAATTTACCTAGTGAGCATGAAGAATGGAGTTTTTAATTAAATATGCAATTAATTGTAAGAAAAGTTTGCTGTGACAAATAACAAAGTTTTCCTGAAATGACTTTGTCTCAGTATATTGTTACTATCTATGACAGACAGCATCCTCTGTATCATAACGCCCCAATTTTTTTTTTTTTTTCTTAGCAGTAGAGTTTAGTGACGAGAGCATGGATGATGCAAAGCACCTTCTTCAGGCAATCTCCTCATTTATTAGAGATGCAAATGCTTATATAAAAGGACAGCTGGTATGTGACCCTGTTAGAGAAGACATACTGTGGGAAAGGTAAGTGTACCTCCTGTATCTTAAAGACTGATTTTGCAAGCAATAGTTTGCTGACAGGCTCAGAGGACTAAACACTGTCGTGTGCTGAGTTCTGTTTAAGAAGCAGGACAAGAAGAAGGACTGAGCAGCAGTCTTCCCTGCCAGCCCTCACCAAGGGCACCCTTTTTTTTTTTTCTTCTTTTTCTAGCCAGCTGCTTTTCCTCATAGTCTGCTACACTTAGTTTATTGTATTCTTAAAATCCGTGTTATTTGTCCAGTGTGCCTATCCCAACACTTGCATCTTTGCCCCTTTTGAGTGATGTGGAAGGCAAAGCTATGACTGAAGTTGTGAGGGTACCCAGTTCGTAAATAGAACTGTTTATTAGCAACTGAAGAAGAAGGAGGACGACTGGAAAGTAATATGCCTTGGGCACGTGAGCTTGTAATCAGGCTGGCTGGCACTGTGGCGTGCAGCAGAGGAGAGAAGGGGTTACTCAGAAACTGGCCAGGGGCAGAGTGTCACAGGGAAAGAAGAAATTATGGCTGTTGTGACCCTGACACTGATGAGGAGAATCTTCTTTGGAGTCCCTTAGGAAAACCAGATCATCTTCCAGGAGAGAGACGTGCTGTGTGTTGGGTGCAAAGCTGAGAAGACGAGCACAGCGCCTGGGAGTCGGGGTAGGAGGGGCTTTGAGCACCCTGAAGCGACATACGTGCAGGCGGGTCTGGTACATAAGATCAGAGGGGAAATGGCCGGTGCTGGAGAAGTGAGAGGTGGCTTCCTTGTGGTGCGGGCACCTCGCTGTCGGGGAGCTTGTGGCTGCACCGCTGAGGCTTGCGAGGGGTGCTGGAACGTATTACAGGGAAGGGGAGCTGAATTAACCAGTTGCGATATTTGGCAAAAGGGAGGCTGCAGAAAACCTGCTGGTGAGAGATAAGGCTGAGAGACGTGAGGCGCAAACGGATTGTCAGTGGGGAACATGTGGGAGGGCACAACTTGTGTATCACTGGTTGTAAAAACAAGCAAAATGAAACAGAGCTCTTAATTAGGGAAGCGGTAGGTACTCAGCAGAGAGGGGGAAGCTTGCAGGGAAGAGTGTTGGGAGGAATGGGTTAGGGAAGCAGCCATCTGATACCTGAGGGGAGGCAGGCATTCCAGGCAAAAACACTCAGAAACAGGCACAACTGGGTTGAGGAGAGCCCCAGAGGCACTAGGACAGCTTGAGGTTCCCCAGGTAGCTCTGCTCCCTGAGCTTTATCGTGAAACGGCATCCTCGGGTCAGCACTGTCCGGGTGTGGTTCGCCTGGCTGTGCGCAGGAGCGTGCTGCCAGCAGCTGTTTGCAGCTCGCCGCTTATTCCCCCTGCTGTCCTCATCCTCCTGCTCAGAGCGGCTGCAGCGCGTGGCACTGGTCCTGCGGCCACGAGGGCTGGCTGCCCGCTGGCTTTTGGCGCTGTTACACAAACGGTCCCACCAGACCTCTCCGTCTCGGCCAAGCCAAGTGGAGTCCCAGGGCTGGGACTGGGCTCACCTGGGAAATGAGAAAGCAGCGCCAGCTTCCGAGCCAGACCCTGTCAACAGGACACCTGGCCGACCCCAAGTCAGCTCTCTTGCCAGGTACTGGAGTGATATGCGTGATGTGGCTTTGGAAGAGAAACGTGCTGTTAGCATGAAAAAGGGCTGGAAAAAAAAGAACTTAACAAAATCTTTAATGTGCTTAATATCAACCTAATTTTCCATCTGTTTTTAAATGATTAAGGCAAGCCTTGCTCTGCCGTTGTTGGTTCCTGTGATTAATGATGTATTTATTGAACGGATGCAGCACTCTGGATTTTGACAGGCATCGAGTTTCTCCCTTCGCAGCTGAAAGATGTATTCCCCCGATCAGTGTAGCGTCGCCCATCATAGGACAGCTAGGAAGGAAACGACAGTGTCCTTTCAATGACTCCCTCTGGCTGAACAGCTGATGAATTCACTGTACTGCTGGCATCTTGTTTGTCTTATCTTAAACGTTACCTTTTCTTCTTGAAGGCTAGCCAACACAAAAGTAACCGTGAAGGCTGCGTTTGCAGATGACTTTGACACCTCCAGGGCTGTTGCAGCAATTATGGACCTCATTCACCATGGCAACAGACAGCTTAAGGCTGTTACTAAGGTAACCCGTTAGGATACAGAGATCAGAAAATGACAGCTGTCCACTGTCCTACTGTTTAATGCAGACAGATTAGTTTATTGTTCACATAAGAAACCAGCAGAAACAAAGCTCCATAAATTGTTGACCTCAATGGTGCCCATTTGTCCTGACCATATCGCAGGAATTGTGTACGGCTATTGTTTTGTGCTTTCTTGTGTCCAAAGGATGTTTCTTTCCTGCTGCCCTATATTATTTATATCTAAGGTTTTTGAAAGGCCTGAAGCTATTGTGGCATGCTGCTGACTTCAGTGCTGGTTTTATGTTCTTACCCTGCTTCTTTGCTTAATACTCATGCACAGAAATCAACCTAAATTGGGAAATGGCGGGAGGTGGTTGCTGCAGGGGCTTTGGCAAGCAGTCCCAGGTGCGCGGGGCAGTCATGGTGGTGAGTTCAGCTTTGGGGACCAAGTGGCTTCTGCTGCTGGCAGATCATAACTGTGGCCTCAGCATGTCTGCGTGAGCCCGTCTTCAGACGGCTTTTGGCAAATTGAGACCCTGTTAAGATCTCTCAATGCTGACACAAAGGAAGCATCTGGTAAGGACCAGACCTGAGCAATAAATACAGTCTGAAGCACTTCTGGCTCTCCTTGTGCCAACAGCTCCCTTTCTCACTCAAGGTGAGCAGCTCAGCCTTGTTGCTGTGCTCCCTGATTGCTGGTGTCATCATGTCCACCGTTTTTATGCTGTGAAAGAGATGTTGAGTATATAGTAATAACTGAATTGGCTCATTGGTTTAGAAATCCTCCCTCTTCCTGGTCTTGTTTTAAATTCTGTCCTGAGCCTTATCTCTCCTTTTTCTTTATAAAATGAGTCTCTGAGCTAATCCCCAGCTTGAGCCAGTTTGCAGCAGGGTTCTGTAACAGCATTACCACTCCTTAATTACAAGTAGCCTCATTTTGCCAGTTGTTGCTTGTTTTCCCTGAATTCCTTCTGTCACTCACTTTGCTAAGAATTGGGTGGGATATTTGCGGGGCAGCTGACTCAGATTTCTGGTTGCGGTGGTGGAGCTTTTCTGGGTGCAGCCCAGCTGTCTGAGCGTTACTTCCTACCGACTGTGTGCGTACTTTTTCTCCTTAAGAGTTGTGAGTGAATTCACATAAACATAACTACTCGTTCCTCTCTTTAATCATCTCGCCGTTCTTATCTTGGTCGGCATGTTCCTGTTTCTTTCCCTCAGTGGTCTGCTTCAGCTCCCTCCAGTTCAGATCCTTTGCAAATTTTAGGGTATGGATTGTCTCAGGCCGTAATGGAGATGTCGGATAAAATCTAGTACCAGCTGCTAATTTGGTTGTGTATGTCATCCCTCTTTTTTCAGGCAAGGGTTAGTCCCTTAAATTGCTTCTCAGTCTATCATTTAACCTTGATTTTTTTTTTTTTTTGGTGAAATAAATATGGAGGAAAGAAAGAAATGCATGTGTTCTTAAAAATGCTATTCTATCACTGCTGCTGGGGCATCACAAAATGCCATAAGCTATCTCAAAGAAGTCTTCATGTTGTTTAAGTCAATAAGACGCTCAAAAAAGGGTTTGTTTTTGGATTTTTTTTAATCATTTATTTTATAGGTGCCCTTGAAGCTGGGATTTTGTTTTTTTATTTTGTTTTCATACACACAGCCCTTTCATGCCCAGAAGTGCTATTTTTAGGTCTAATTTACTGTGCGCATGTAATGCATGGCAGCTTCACGCATCTCTTCTCCTCGCTGCGCATCCTGGTAATAAGCTCTTCCCCTCCCCCCTTTACTTAAATCTTTTCCCTTTGTGTTGCGAGGTGCTTTTATATCTCTGTGAAAATTCCCATCTGGGCAGGTGTTACTGCTGGAGGTAGATCTATGTAATTAGTAACAGTTTTCCCTTGTGGACCTAGGCTACAGAGAGATGCTGAGTTCTGTAATATGTATTGACTGGACAATCTCTTTTGAGTGTTTTTTAAACAGGATGCTGGATCTCCTAGAAGCTCTGTTGTGTATGGAAGCATTATTTCCTATATAGAAGGCTTTTTTAATGCCCTTGGGATGTCCTTTGGAGAAAGACAGGTACAAAACATCTCTTCTATGTGTACTAATGTATGGTAGCAGGGCCAGTGTTATGTTTTATAGAACACTTTCCAGAAGCGTCAGATGTAACAAAGTTATTTATGGTTTTAGTAAACCTTTCTGCACTGCTTGCAGTTTCTACCGTGATGTCTTAGGAGAGCATGTGAGCAGGTAGAACAGGAGAAAGCAAAATATGAGCTTTTTTCTTCTCCGAGATACTCCTGTGTCATTTCTGCAGCAATTGTGCTATGGAAATGAAAGTTTGAGGAATGAAACGAGAAAAAGTTAGCATTGAAGGTCTTTTAAGTTGGTCCTGTTTATGTGTCTGGCTTTTTCCTGGCTCTTCCTCTTCTTTCTGATGTTTGCACCCGGTCTGACTTCGATAGCCTTACAAATATTTGTGGTTGTGACCTCCCTGCACAGCAGGAGCCGGGGTCCAGCTCCTCTGCAGAAAGCCAGGGTGCAGAAAAGGGGGCCGATCTGCCTTGAGACGCAGTAGGGTGCGGGGAGGGGAGGGCAGCGGAGGGGGTCCTGTCATTGGAAATACCTTACGTATCCTTTAGTGCTTGGAAAGGTAAGAATGGGGAGGGGAAAAAAAGGAGAGAAAAGCCCAAAGCTAAGTACTGCACAGGGAAGAGAGTGATACGTACGAAGGCAATATCCTGATGTATGGAAGGGGAGCATTTAAAATGACGCAAGGTGTGGGAGACTTGCAGGTTGTTCTGTGCTCCTCTCCTGCTGGAATCTGGAGCTGAATACCAAGAAGTTGAAAACTTTCTTGAGAGAAACTGTTCCGCCAAAATTCCTTTTGGGGGAGGAGGAGAAGAGGATAAGAAAATGTAAATAACCTTATTAATCCTTTGAAAGTTAGGCAGTATAGCAATAAAGTCATAGATTTACTTTGCCTCTTCGTGGATTTTTCCACAAAATTTCTTTCAAAACAGTGGTTGGATGTGATTTGGCTGTGTGTTACTCCTGATAACCCATGGTTTGTCATGTTAATTTTTAGTGGCATACTAAACACTTATATTTTTCTGTAAGTTGGATGTCAGTCATTCCTCCAGATTCTGGGCTGTCTGTGTGCAGGTGCCTGCTGCATCTTTATTTTTGCTGAAACAAGCGTCTGAATGCTTTTTTTTTGCGTGCTGTGCTAGTTTCTCTGGGTCAGCAGGGTCAGCAGAAGACGTTGGCGGGAGGTAGGCAGGAAGGAAGGAGCAGCACGTCAGATTTTTCTTCAAATTCCAGTAAATGAATCAATCAAAATCTTCATCAGAAAGGTCCGTGGGCTGCTGCAGGCTAGTAAATAAAATGGTGCAGGGATTGTTCCCTGACCTCGAGACCAGCCACAACAGCTCGGTGTCCAACCTTTCCTGCCCCTTAGCCGGGTGGCCCCGGGCACGCAGCTTGTGGGGAGCAGTCCCTGACCACCACAGGTCCTGACACGTGGGCTGTCTGCGAGAGGGCTGGCTGGCCTGGCAGCCGCTGTGCTAACAATTTAATGTAGAGGCTACAGGGAGCAGCGTTCAGGCCCTCTTTGTTTGGATGTTTGCATGTAGCCTGCGGGTCTGTCTTGCTCTTAGGATGGGATTCACCTCAGCTAATTAGCCTTACCGTCCAATGTAGCTGCCTGTGCTTCTGCAGTAGTTGGTGGAGAGAGAAAGGCACTGCTAAGGGACGGTTCATCTTATTCTGGTGGCTGTATAAAATAAGACTGCCCATCTCTCTCTGCATTGGCAAGAGAAGGAGCCTGGACAGCCACAGGCAGGTCATATGAATCCATCTGAAACTTCTAGAAGACACTGCTAACCAGACAGAAGTCTAGGGAAATGTTTCTCTCTTAGGCAGCCTTACCACTTATTGCTGAGGAGTGTAGCCGGTGGGTGGAAACCATCATGCCCGTTTAGAGCCAAGGAGCAAAGGTGAGGGCTTTCGCTCTACCGAGGAGCTCTGTGTTGCGGGTGCAGCCAGGGGCAAACAGGTGATCACCTGTGGGGCAGGCAAGGGCCAAACTTCCACGTAAAATGTCTTAGGAGCCTTTTGGATGGGTTGGTACTGCAGAAGAAGAAATTAGAGATCAGCCTGGACAGGCTACACAGTGTTTTGCATGGAAATTGGATCAGTTCATCTCCTAAAGCTGCCCCTCCTTTTATAGAGGATCTTGCCTTTGTGTCATGAGTACACACCTGGTTTGAACTTTGGCAGTGGTGTCTGTAGATGTGTTTCTTGCTCCTGGTAGCATTTGTCTTTCCTCTCCCTTCTGTATTTAAGTATTTATCCTGCCCTTTTCCCTGCCCCAGGTTATGATGGAGCATTTCTGGCGCTTGGATTTATTACCTTCTTCAGTCTCATAACCTGCTTCTTTAGTATGTTTACATGTTTTGAAAGTTTGGGGAATTTGCTGCCTTTTATGATTGTGGAGAGCATTGAGCATCTCGCACTCTAGCCCTTCAATAGCTTCCCCCTCACCTCCTTCTCCTCCTCTTTGTTTGCTTCAGTCAGTGACCTCTGAAACTACTCCCTTTCATTTCCATCCCGCTGTTTGGTGACTAAATACAGTCCCCTCTGGCTTTAATTACTCAGCTGCTCTTCTGCTCCTAGTCGAGCATCGCTGCCAGCGGCTTCGCCCCCCCGGCCTTGGTGTGCTTTGTATGTCACTGCTCCGTTGTCTGCTCCCCCTCTTGTGTCTTAGTGATAAAATACTGCGACAGCATTTTCTTGCTTGTTGGAGGTTTGTCCTTTTCCTCCCCCTTAGGAGTTTGCCTCTAATGAGAAACAGGGATGGTTTCTCTGCTGAAAGCAAGACTGGGAGCCTGGCTGTGCCAGTGCCGAGGAGTGGCCTTCCTCTTCTGCTGGCACCTGAGCTCCCATCCCGGCAGCCGTTGGCGCGGGACCCTCTAGGAGGAGGGAGGCCGTTCCCTTCCCGTGGTGTTGACCAGCAAGACTTCTGCCATGCCAGAGGAGGCCGAGGAAGCTCGGAGCTGGCTGAGGGGAGGAGGGGGCCAGGCAGCAGCCAGAAAACGTATGCTGTGTGCAGTGGCTGCTGCTTGGTCGGGCCTTGCTGAGTGGCTGAAACTGGATAAAGCGGATCAGATAAACGTTCTGCAGATTCAGGGAGGTGCAAGGAGAAAGGGTGGTCTAGAGACTTAAAGCCAAAATACCTCATTTTCCTGGTTTGTGATTCTTGAAGAGGGTCTGGAGCTCAAAGACAGCGTAAGGGGCTTGTGTGCTCTCTAGCTCTGCAGACGTTTACAGCCGAGGGACTGTCTGAGCTGGCGGCTGGGCTTCCCTTGCTGTGTTGGATGGCTGTTGCCAGGCCTTTCTTCCATTAGTTTGTCTAATCCCTTTTTAATTTATGCACGCTTCTGGCATCTGGGAGGTTTCCTGTGGCGATGAGTTCCACAGTTGGGTTATGCAGCTTGTTATGTTCACATGAGAGCTCTCTGCTCCAAGATAGACGCTGTCCTGTATAGGAATACACTGAACTACTTCCAGGGACAGCTGTACTGTAACTTGTGTCCAGCATTAGTGAGATTGCGACGTCTAAATCGTACCGGTACAATGGAAGATACACAAAGAGAGATGACGAGGCCTCAATGTATGCTACTGAGTTGGGGTTGATTTTTAAATCATTCTCGGATATTTGTAAAGCAGCCTGTTTGATTTCTAGGTGGCTCTGGGAGGAGGCGACTCGGCTGTGCTCTCTAATGTCATTGACGAGCTTGTAAGGTTCCGCTCGAAGGTTCGTCATTACGCGCTTGCTCTGCCGGAAGAAGCCGCAGAAGCTGTGCCAATGGAGGGTGCCGTGGGAGCCCAAGGACCGAAACAAGAACAGAAGGAAAAGAGGCAGCAGTTAATGCAGGAGAGAAAACCCCTCCTGGAGGCTTGTGACAGTCTGCGTGGAGACCTTGCTGCCTTTGGAATCCACATAAAGGTAGAAGACAGCGACCCTCTTTGTGAGACCGTTAGCCATTTTTTAAGGCATTTATTTTTGCCCTTTGCGCCCCTTCGGCAGACTGCAGTAGCAGGAGGTGGAAGTTAAGCCCTTTCCTGGTTGTACTGCTAGCTTTCTCTTCTGTTTCCTCAACCTCGTGTCTCCATGCAAGCTGTAGCTACTTCTGCAGTTACTAAGGGTGTGTTATTTAGCCACTGAAAATCCCGCAATATTCAGAAATCCCTAAGTTGCCCAAGTTCAGTCCAGAAGGAAAGGTATGAGTAATGTGTGCAATCTTTAAAAATTCAGATTGCAGAGGAACTGGAAAGTAAACTGAGATGACTTCCTTCCCTCTACCCTCCCCACATTCCCCCACCAAAAATGGTAAGTCCTCACGAGAAAGCCTCTTCCGTCTTCAGCAGCTCCATTCCCAACTGTTCCTGAGCTGTAAGTACTTTGCCTCATTCCTGCACTGCTCCTCTCTCCACCCTGCTTTCTGCTTTTAGCCTAACACCTAATGCCCCTGTTCTTTTCCATTACCCCAGTGGTGTCTTCTGCTCAAGAGAAATCCCTTCACTGGCTTACTGTCTCCTCCTGGTTTCCAGGTGCTACATGACCTCTTTAAGGGGTGCTGCTGCTTCCAGTTCCTCTTGCTTCACTGCCCTTCCCACCTCAGCTCCAGCCCTTGTTGGGTCAGCGTTGCTCCTTACGTGCAGAACAATCCTCCGCTTTCTCTTCAGCGTCTTTCTCCCTCCCTCCAGTTCACGCTGCTTGTTTTTCCCTCACTTGGGAACTGAGCCTTGCATAGTCTCCTTCCGTCGTTTTACCACGGGGAGGATGTCAAGTACAGTGACGTTAGGGAGTGACAGCATACATCCTCTTCAGCTGCTGAACGTGAGAGCTGTCCTTTGTCAACACACCTAGTAAAACCAAATAGGAAGTGTGGTCAGCTGTCTCATGATCTCAGGTGAAGATCATCAGGCTGGATGGGGCTCTGAGCAACCTGATCTGGTGGTAGATGCCCCTGCCCATTGCAGGGGGGGTGGGCTAGATGGCCTTTAACGGTCCCTTCCATCCCAAAGCATTCCATGGTTCTGTGAAAGTGAGTGTGCTCGCTGGGGTGAGGGCCAAAGCGCAATGGTGGTGAGCTACAGCTGGGAAAGCAAAGGAAGACTGTGGGAAGTTGGAACACCTGCTTCCTTAACTTGTTTGTACGTAGCTAAATCCCCGCTCCACTTATCTGTCAAGAAAGTTTGCAAATCCAAACAACTGCACTGAGACAAAGTCTTGGAGGAGACGACTCCCTTTTGATCCATTTGGCAAAATGGCCACAGCCCCACCCTTCTGAAGATTTGTTTTGGGTTGTTTTTAAAGGGATTTACAATTGTTTAATAACGTCCTAGAAATTGGCCTTAGCCAGGATTCAGCCCATTCCATTTATTTCAGGTTTTTTTAATAACCTGAAGCTCAGCATCATCTGTCTCCTGCTTGTCCCAGCACAGTTTGCTCCTGAGGACGAAGCACGCATGCACGTATGAGCGCACGCAGCACGCGTCCAAAGCTGAACTCCCCCTTTTTTTGCTGCTTGACGAGTGGAAGTACCTGAAGGTGTGCTGTGAAGGTGGCCCAGCTCTTGCCTTTGCAGATCCCAGAAGAGTCCTGCAAACTGAGCAACACAGCTCTGCGGTTCCTCGCGCGTTCCCAGAGCAAACGCGTGAGGAGACGTGGCCCTACCCAGAGCAGGGCTCTTGCCGCCCTCCTCCTCAGCACGGGTCTGCTTGGCTGGGTTGGTTGGCCGCCCTGGGTTGGTTATTGCCAAAAATGACAGGGTAACACAGCGCCCAGCAGCTGGGTCCTGCGTGCCTAATGAGCACGTGAGGAAGTAATTTGAATTTCTGTTTTCTACCCAGCTTCTACTTTCCATGAAACTTTTGAGTCCCCCGATACGCACGCGGTAACGCATCTGTGAACGTGCTCTCCCTCTGTCACGGGCGGCTGCAGTCAGCCAGCAACTTCTCAGGTCCGTGGGCAGGAGGAAGAGCAGCCGAGCCTCGTCTCCAGCCAGTGCGGACTAGAAACCCCTGGTTTGGGGCTGGCAGCTCGAGGGCACGGGTGGCAGCTTAGAGAATGCGAGGAACTGAATTGCCTTAAAAACCAGCTTTGTAGAAAGGGTAATTTCTCCTTCAGCTTCGAAGTTTGTGATTGCTGTACACTGGTTTCTTTTCTCATGCTGCTCAATGCAGATGATGACCTGTTTGTCTGAAGTTACAGCCCTTGCAACAAACTGATTAAAATACCCACCGGTCTTTTCATGTCATCATAGTGTGCAAGCTAATCTGTGCTACCAAGTGAAATGTAGTAATTAGGTATGTATGCATCAAAAAGTTTTCACTTTAAAGAAAATTCTACGTTGTATTCCAGCCTCTCTCAAGCGTCAGAGCTCACGTAACGTCGTCACGTTTCAGTACTGGGATTAACTTTTGGTTTATTTTTAACAATTGCAGTCAAACAGCTAGATCTTAACAGTCAGAAATGCTCAGTTTGAGTGTAATAGTCTCTTTCAAAAATGTGACAGTATTGCATTAGATACTTGCAGCAACAGGCTACTATCCTAAAATTCAGGAGATCAAATACGTTAGGCTATATAGTCTTATGTATTGGCTGTAGGAAGAGCTGTTGTCCATTTAAACATGAAAATTATGATTGCCTGAGTTTAACAGAAGTTACTCACATGAGAGAGACGAGACACCGCTGCGGCGTCCCACACTGATGAGGTGACGTTTCTGTTGTGGGGTTTTTGCCTTCTTGACGGGGAAGAACTGCCTGGGTTCGTTTCGCCACTTCGAGCATTATTAGTAGCAGCGGCATTCCGGTGAGACGTATCGCCACCTCTCTTACCGAACCCGACTGATAGCTTTGCTGTGTGAAGCTTGGTTAAAAACCTGTGCCTCCGCCTCCCTACCCACGTACGATGCCTGTGGGATCCCGGCTGCTGGGACTGACCTGCTTCCTCCTTCTTGCAGGACAGAGCTGCTGTTTCAACCTGGGAAATCGTGGAAGGAGGGCAAGCAGAGCAGCAGACTGAGAAAAAGAGCTGATCCTTCATCCTTGGACTTTTTTTTTTTTTTTTTTTTTTTTGGGCAAGAAAGAGACAGACCGAGAAAAAAAGCGGTTCCTTTCTCCCTTGGTTTTTTTTTTTTTTTTTTTTTTTTTTTTTTTTACTTCAGCTGCTTTGGCAACAGTTGTAAATACTAATATACTTTTCAAATAAAGTCTTTGGAACTGAATGGCTACCAAAGAATATAATCTGAGCAAAACTGTTGACACTGCCCACTGGTTTAAACACTTGTGTTCCTCTCAGACACAGAAGGAGGTGACAGTGTTAGCCTTGAAATATTTCCTTATTGCAGTGTTGCTGGCTTGCTCCTGTGAAATCTTTAACTACACTATGACGGTATCCAGTTCTCCCTAAGGCTTGGTACCTTTTCGGTTTGCTTTTGCACAGGACACGTCGAGGCTTCCCTAGCAGTGGGAGTGCAGCATGCTCAGGATCTCCCCATCAGAACTGGGAAGATAAAATTAGTATGTGTAATTATCACCTACTAAGGGGAGTGTTCGGATTTTTTTTGTTATAGTTTTTTAATTCTAAATTGTCTTAAAAGTCTAATACATCAGTTTTAACTATAATTAAGCTCTTTTTTCTTTTTCTGTAATCAAAGCTGCATTACTAGATCCTAGCAGCATGATGAAATTCTTGCCTTAACAGGAAAAAAAACTTCCTATCTTTATTAAAGAAAAATCAACACAGGCCAGTTACCTTTTTTTCTTTTGCCATGTTTGCGTTACAAAAAATGCCTACAGCTGCACCAGCCAGGGCAGAGGCAGAGGCAGAGGCCTGCCCGATGCGTTTACATGGGGCTTGTACTCACCGCTGGCATCCTTTGTGTAAATCAATTTATGAAAAGGTAAGTAAGAACATGGATCCATCTACAAGGAACTTCATTTGAAAATACAATTCACACAGGTAATCTGTGTTCAAAAGGATCACGGATCTCTTTTATACTGTTGAGAATAAAACGCGTAGCTGTCTTTCTGCTCCCCTTCTGGTTATCGGTACGCCTAGGGAAGATGGGGGGGGTCTCCATTAGCGCCTTGGCAGATGCTTATTTGACGCTGTTGGTATTTTAAATTTGCTAGTGGCTGTATTGCTCTAGTAAGCTAGAACAAACGGCAAAGAGTCAGCTCAGCTTCTGTGGGAAATGTGACCGGAACATACCAAACAAAGTACACACAATTAATTTGCTATGATTTTTATTTCCTACCAAAAGAAACTGCTACATTTCCAGAATGTTTAAAAATCGTAACAATTGGTATACATCATTAGTGAATAACAGAGTTACAACTTCTGCGTAGATTTAAAACCAACACGGCAGGTTGAAATCTGTACTGAGCTCTGTTAATTGATTGACTTCGCCTACAAAGGCCATTTAGATTTATAATACCACTGCTGTTCTAAATACAAAAAAATGCTCATCTTGGAGGAAATCCAGTAGCTGTTTTAAAATCAGTTTCAACTTTCTGGTTTTATTTAACAGGAGGCCGGGCTTGTCAAATAGTTTTAGGGGGGAAAAACAAGAGTAGCTTAGTTTCCCCAAAGATGTAGACAGTTTACAAAACTGCTTAAATTAAATACGAAAAACCCATCTCTTATGAGTGGACGTTGCTCTAATCTAAAAAGTCTGTGAACCCTCATAGACCAAAACGAGCAAACATTTAAAAACCTATTTTAAAAATAGGTAACTGGTTTAAAAAGAAAAACAAAAATGCATCGGGGTGAGGTAGTAGTCACAGTGCATCCAGAAATCTCAGCTCTAAGGGCTGAAGGGAAATACTCGGAGCGGCCTTTCTGGTGCCGGGTGCTTTCTGCAGGCAGCCTTTGCGAGGTACAAGAACGCAATCTGACTAGCGTGCGTGACGCCACCTTCCACGCCAGAGCTAAGTCACTGGAAAAGAGTGGCTGCAACGAATATATAACATCTACTGCAATAACTAGACACATTATATGCTTGTTCCTGCGCTTGACTGAGTATATATGCTCGGAGCTAGGTTTAAGGGCGGTACCCGCTCTAACGTACTTCGCGTGAACTCGCCCCTCTCCCCATATTGGTTCAGTCCCTACAAACTTTGACTGGATTTCTAAAAATTTAAGAAATGGTACTGTGCAAGCTCCCACGCAGCTTCCCCTTTATACCCAACGCTCCTCTGCCCTGCCGACGAGCCCTAACGCGACAAGGCCTGTCTGTCTTGCTAAGGACCAAGCAAGAAGCCCCTAAACCCAGGTGCTGCGCTCAGAGCTCAAACACCGACCGCCAGTTTTCTATTCCTGCCTTTGATTTGCAGCCTGCGCAATGCTAAGAGGGTACAGGTACCTGCCGTCGGCTGCCTTTTGTGCCTTCCGTTTGTATTCCGCCTGGTTATTATTAGCCACATCTGCATCCGTACGCTGATCTTCTCAGAGCTCTTAACTCGCAGCAGGCAATCTGAGTTTTAAAAGCACTTTGCTCTTCCATGATCACCGAGAGTTTGGCCAGTTTAGCTGGGTATCACTAAGTTTCTTACCCCGCCTTGTACCTCTCCAAATGATAATTTCACAAAAATTTCATCATACCAAGTTCTAGAAGAGTCAAGGCCAGCTAAAGGAATAGAAATTTTTTTTTTTTTTCAGGTAAGCATAATTACTGTGCAATGCTAAGATACCTACAGGTACCTATTCTGTCATGGGGGAACCTTTTAAAAAAACCCGACAAAACCCAAAAAACCCAGGTGCTGCAGGAAGGGGTGTCTTGTCAAAATGAACGCTGCCTCTGGGACTGGGAATGGGAAAAGGCAACTAATTACATTCAAAATCTACAGCAACTCTCATGCATTCCCTTTCCAAAGAGGCTTACTTTTTGCTTCTTAATACACTAGCGTGGCAAAAAATGAAGTGCAATAGCTAAGTCTAGACAGAGGGTCTAAGAATGAAAACATGACAACAACCTTGGTGCAAGCCAAGACGTTCAGTTGAGCTGGTGGAAGAATTTTATCTAAGTATCAAGTGCATTTTTTTTTTTTTTTGCTGTTCACACTTTAGTTATTGCTCAATAACTATCAAAAAGAACAGAGGAATACTTTCAGTTTAGTTTTATTATATTATAACAGATCTGCAACTACAGCTTATTTCAGCCAAAACATTTTTGTATTCCAAACTCTTAAAAAATATCTACATTAATCATATTTTTCTATTCTTAAAAATAAAAAAAAAAAATCTACCTAGCATACCAATGCTGCTACAGCACTTGAAAGGGTGCATTACTTATGTAAATTCTACGGTAAATGTAATTACTCTTGCAGTCATTGTTCTTCCTTTTCTTCTTCTCTGCTGCTTTGGCTTCAGGTTTCAAAAAGTTTGTTAAAAGCTGTTCCGACTTCTGAAACCATGTCAGAGGCAGTCATTGAACGTCCGAATTTTTGAAAGGCTTGGTGGTTAGACTGCCTCGTAAGAGAGACAGC